CAAATACATGGTATATTTCCCAACTAGCATCCAGCTTTATAAAGAGGGAATATGCTTAAAGCAAATCTGAATTGGGGAGAATATAAGTGTTTTTACGTTTGATTGAGCCTAATTGCCATGATAGTGACAAGACTGGGTGAAGAAAAGGTAAAAATAAGTTTCTCTATAGCAACTGAGCTGAGGGGGGCAACTAGAGACGCAAGTAGGTGAAGAGGGAGGAAAAATATATCTTGCTTGGGATTTAAGTCTACGGTAGCATGCTAGAAAGAGTTATGGCTAGGTTATGACGACAAACAAATAACCAAATGTATATGCTTAAAGCAAATCTGAATTGGGGAGAATATAAGTGTTTTTATGTTTGATTGAGCCTAATTGCCATGATAGTGACAAGACTGGGTGAAGAAAAGGTAAAAATAAGTTTCTCTATAGCAACTGAGCTGAGGGGGGGGGGGGCAACTAGAGACGCAAGTAGGTGAAGAGGGAGGAAAAATATATCTTGCTTGGGATTTAAGTCTACGGTAGCATGCTAGAAAGAGTTATGGCTAGGTTATGACGACAAATAAATAACCAAATGTATTCTTGGCAAAACCTCATATTATTTTACCTCTGAATAAAGACTGGGTAGAAAAAAAAATAATGGTTAATAAAGGCTTATAAATCATGAATATTAAGACTTTGCATTAAGTTACAGAGGTACACAACCATTTTAAATTTATGATTGATGGTGATCAGATAAGTTAAATATATTCATGGGCTTTTTAATGTATTCATGGGTGGAAAATACCTCCCTGAATTTATTTGAATATATTTTTTTTTTTCAAAACAAGCTAAACAACAATTCTACAGGAACCATCTTGTGTAGCTTGTTTACAAGTAAACTTACTTTAAAGTTTTACGAAGTTATGTTAACCTAAAATTAAGTTTTTAATGTTAAATTTTGTTCAATGTCAAAATAGCAAACAACAATTTTATAGAAAATATTTTGAAGCAACAACAATTTTACGTCTGAAAACATAAAGAGTTTAATATTGAGTTTCGTGTTTTTTAAGTTGAGTGTTTTAGTGTTGCTGGGTAGGAATATAAGTTTCAAGGTAATTAATTAATGATGAAAAACTAAAGTGAATTATACAAGTATGTATCATATATATTTAGCAAGCTTTCAATTGAAAATACAGTATAAGTACATTCTTATATTCTATATTCTCTGAATAGAACCTACAATTGCCTAGCTGTCAATTTAGGTAAATCAATAGTAATTCTACAATTCAACCAAAACTGATTATTGCTTCATTATTTAATACTGATATATTTTTAATCTTTTCAAATGAAGCTAATTAATGTTATTACATTTAATGTTTAAGGGTTTCCAGATTTGTTGACAATATGCAAGAGAAAATTAAAATGTATTTAATTAATTATAATTAATAACATGCCTTTAATTAGAGTATCATTAGAAAATGTTATAGAAAGTCGATCATTGCATAGGTGCTGTTTCCTATCACAACATTCCATACTGTACAAGTTGTTCTCACCATCTGAAGGTTTTCCAGATTTGTTGACAATATGATAAGAGAAAATTAAAATGTATTTAATTAATTATAATTAATAACATGCCTATCATTAGAAGTAGCTATAGAACGTTCATTGGTGGTGTTTCTATCACCACATTTCCATACAAGTTGTTCTCACCATTCTACATCTTTTAGTGCAATTAATACTTCTTTTCGATCATCGCTTTGAAAACGAAAGTAGTTTGCTTCATGGAGATCATGTGACTAGCTCAAGCATCATGATTCCTACATTCATGACCCAAAACATATGTCATATCCTTGAATTTACAAGACCACACGATGGTAAAATCAATAGTGATAGTTAAATCATTCGAAAACTCAGCCACTTCACTGTAGGACAAATCTTGAAAAGATACATATTTATCTATCTTGACTTTCACAAGGAAAGATACCTATAAAATTCTCAGGAGTGTATCTAGTATTTAGGCCTGGCATAGCCCTAGGTATGCGAATGCATACGAGTTGTGGCCTTTTTTTTGGGTGGGGGAAGGAAAAATGAGCTTTATTCTGGTCCTTAATACACAGAACAGAAACATGATTTCTTTTTCTAATATGGCCTATAAAAACATTATTTCATCAAAATTATTGCTAAAAAAATAATACACACAAAATAACCATGTCAAAATCAATATCACATTTCATTCTGAATAATTTTGAAATAATTTTATGAATATATACAGCGACCTTACAAAGGTTGATTGGCACAAATGAGAATAAAATGAAGTGATGTTAAACATTCGAATGACTTTACGGAGAAAATAATGAAGATATGCATGTGACATAGGCCTAAATGCTTTCTGCAAATGAAACTGACTTTGTTTTGTTTTTTTTTGCTGTATATTATTATTACAGTACAT